GTATCAGCCAGTCCCCAGAGTGGGGATGTCACTCCCTTACAGAACTCCCAGTCCCTGTGACCATACTTACCTTCTGGTATAGACAGTGTATCAGCCAGTCCCCAGAGTGGGGATGTCAGCCCCTTACAGAACACCCAGTCCCTGAGACCATATCTACCTTCTGGTATAGACAGTGTATCAGCCAGTCCCCAGAGTGGGGATGTCACTCCCTTACAGAACTCCCAGTCCCTGAGACCATACTTACCTTCTGGTATAGCCAGGGTATCAGCCAGTCCCCAGAGTGGGGATGTCAGTCCCTTACAGAACTCCCATTCCATGTGACCATACCTCCCCTATAGACAGTGTATCAGCTAGTCCCCAGAGTGGGGAGGTCACTCCCTTACAGAACCCCCAGTCCCTGAGACCATACCTACCTTCTGGTATAGAAAGTGTATCAGCGAGTCCCCAGAGTTGGGATGTCAGCACCTTACAGAACTCCCAGTCCATGGGACCATACTAACCTTCGGGTATAGACAGGGTATCAGCCAGACCCCAGAGTGGGGATGTTACTCCCTTACAGAACTCCCAGTCCCTGAGACCATACTTACCTTCTGGTATAGACGGGGTATCAGCCAGTCCCCAGAGTCGGGATGTCAGCCCCTTACAGAACTCCCAGTCCCTGAGACCATATCTACCTTCTGGTATAGACGGGGTATCAGCCAGTCCCCAGAGTCTGGATGTCAGTCCCTTACAGAACTCCCAGTCCATGTGACCATACTTCCCTTCTGGTATAGACAGTGTATGAGGCAGTCCCCAGAGTTGGGATGTCAGCCCCTTACAGAACTCCTAGTCCCTGAGACCATACCTACCCTATAGACAGAGTATCAGCCAGTCCCCAGAGTCTGGATGTCAGTCTCTTACAGAACACCCAGTCCCTGAGACCATATATACCTTCTGGTATAGACAGTGTATCAGGCAGTCCCCAGAATTGGTATGTCAGCCCCTTACAGAACTCCCAGTCCATGTGACCATACTTCCCTTCTGGTATAGACAGTGTATCAGGCAGACCCCAGAGTGGGGATGTCAGTCCCTTACAGAACACCCAGTCCCGGAGACCATATCTACCTTCTGGAATAGACAGGGTATCAGCCAGTCCCCAGAGTTGGGATGTGAGCCCCTTACAGAACTCCCAGTCCCTGCGACCATACTTACCTTCTGGTAGAGACGGGGTATCAGCCAGTCCCCAGAGGCGGGATGTCAGCCCCTTACAGAGCTCCCAGTCCATGTGACCATACCTACCCTATAGACAGTGGATCAGCCAGTCCCCAGAGTTGGGATGTCAGCCCCTTACAGAACTCCCAGTCCCTGAGACCATACCTACCCTATAGACAGTGTATCAGCCAGACCCCAGAGTGGGGATGTCAGTCCCTTACAGAACTCCCAGTCCCTGAGACCATACCTACCTTCTGGTATAGCCAGGGTATCAGCCAGTCCCCAGAGTCGGGATGTCAGCCCCTTACAGAACTCCCAGTCCCTGAGACCATACATACCTTCTGGTATAGACGGGGTATCAGCCAGTCCCCAGAGTCGGGATGTCAGCCCCTTACAAAACTCCCAATCCCTGAGACCATACCTACCTTCTGGTATAGACAGTGTATCAGCCAGTCCCCAGAGTCGGGATGTCAGCCCCTTACAGAACTCCCAGTCCCAGATCATACATGATGACAGTATCAGCACCACCACACCCAGGTTGTACAGGGAGGTCGGCCAGAGCCCATTGTTGATCAAATTTCTGAAGAAAAAAAGTTTTCTTTTTATTCAAAACAGCCACTCACACATTGATTTCATACAATTTCTTCTAGGAATATTCCGTCTTTGCGTATTGCAGAGTTATCTTCTCTTGGGAGCAGGTATTGATTGTTACGTCACTTGTTTGTGAGAATAACGTCATCAATTTTTGAGAAAACGACGTAATTTTCTCACACAGACCAATGACGTAACAATCAATACCTGCTCCCAAGAGAAGAAAACTCTGCAATACGCAAACACGGAATTAACAGAACTACAGCTGTTGCCACATAACACTTTGTTTACAACTGAATAATGCCTGTCATGACTATATAAGGGCATAGCCAATAGGGCTTACACCGTTGACATTAACATAGAGACTGACAAGATCTTCTATGGCTGTGGAACCTGAACCTTACTTACAACCACTGACAGATAAAACATTTCGGGGAGTGGTCCCTGTAACATAGATTTATAACTATATTTATAAATTGTTTTTGAAGCAATTGACATATGCAATTCTCTTATCACTAACACAAGAGTTAAAAGGACAATGATCAATAATCGGGCAGTTCAATCGCCCAATAGAGGTCTGGTATATACTGAACATTTTTATTTTATTCTATAAAGTTTCCTGTCCTCGGTAGATAAATCCAATCAGCTACATTTGTATAAATGACTGTCATAACCATTAAAACTGTACGAGAATTGCGCAGTATACAGTACCTGGTATAATACTGTCGTAAAAGTAATACCACTTTGTAACACATATCAACTGTGACAATAGCTCAGATATAGGCTGATTGGCTCCCTGGAGGAAATACTGACACATATCGCACATTTCATCAAAACTGACTAGAAATTGCAGATTACAGATTTATTACAATATACTAAAATAGAGATGGCCTCCAGCCTTTTGTTCAACAGCATGAAAAGTAAATATGTTTTATTCATAAGATTTACTTACCAGTGATATTATCATCACCTTAATTATTCTGTTACACAGTCGGTTAATTAATTGATGATACATGCCTGCATTAATTGTTGTACATGTTTTAAATGGTCAGAGGGGCCTCAAAATGTGACTTTTTTTCCAACTATATAACTTGTAAAGTAAAAATGTCTTATGCATAAGAATTTACTTACCAGTAATATTATCATCACCTTAATTATTCTGTTACACAGTCGGTTAATTAACTAATGATACATGCCTGCATTAATTGTTGTACATGTTTGTGATGGTCAGAGGGGCCTCAAAATGTGACTTTTTTTCTAACTATATGTCTTGTAAAGTAAATATGATTTATTCATAAGAATTTACTTACCAGTGATATTATCATCACCTTAATTGTTCTGTTACACAGTCGGTTAATTAATTAATGATACATGCCTACATTCTTGCATTTATTTTATATACTTGTTTGTTAACACCGGATGGGTCTCTGGATGTGACTTTTTACAAGTTGAGAATATCTGTTCAAAACGATTGCAGGCCAGCTGCCTTAATCATAGTTTCACCTCAGAAACCAATGAGGTGATCGGAGGTCAACATGACAGGTCTCTGTGATCTGACTATATCTCTGGAATTTTTCTAAATGAATGGAAAATAGGCATATGTAAATTGTGAAAAAGCATCCACGTATTGGCTTGGTTTGTGTGGATAAATACCAGCATGTATGCTACACTGGTCAATAGTTTGTAAACTCAATATTGATAGTCAATGGGCCAGTCACATGGCTTAAATTATAATCAAGATAATCACTTAAACAATTATCTTTTAAAAGACTAGAATATCTTCGTTTATCAAATATTTTTCACTCTACATGTGAAATGCTGCATCTGATTTATTTTTACGAGATGAACATTAATTTTTAAGTTGGAAATTTTAAAGAGATTTTGGGGAAAATACAACCATTTTTATTGGTAATAGGGGCAAATTTTTTGTCCCCATAAATGACCCCGAAAAGGTTAAAAGGCCTGTGTATGTATCTGTATAGTGAGTGAACTCAACCTTTGCTATTGTTGACTTGTGTCTATATCAGCGGCCGGAAGGACTTTGTTATTGTTGACTTGTGTCTATATCAGCGGAAGGACTTTGTTATTTACAGGTTAACCAGTATTGTGTTAATCCCGGTCAAGTTACACTTTTGACCAGACTGTCAGACTTATTATCAAACTTAAGTCAATATGAACTTTGCTGTTTATATAAATTTATCAAACTTTGATTCATAAATATTCTTCCCACTCCTATTTACTGTAATACACATGTCCAATGTAGGACATCCACACCGGATAACCTAGTTTACTCATTCACCCCTGAAATACTTCATAATGAACTATTCCAACCTTTGAATTGGAGTTCAAATGTGTCTTCAGGGGTGATCAACCTTTGAAATGGAGTAGTTCAAATGTTTCTTCAGGGTTGAATGAGTTAATAACTAGCTGATATCCATTTTATGATCTACAGTTCCCTGGATCAGGGGTGTACGATTCAAACAGCCTGATTCCCCAGTAGGCTGGTAGGTTTTATAACAGGCATTGAGAAATCTTTCATTATTTTTCTGAAACATAAGTCTGGCTTGTAAAATTTTAATCTATCGGTAAGTATGGATAGAGTGATGATTCCACAAGACAGTTTCAACGTTTCACATTGTATTTATTTACAGGTCTGCAAATTGTACATATAGTTACAATTTCTTCTTAATATTCACAATCAATCTGGTATTAATTCCTATCTTGCATATAACCATCACTCTCTGGTTGATTGATTTACGTCCTTGTCCCTAGGACAATCATTCTGATGGGTCCAGATAAACTTATAAGCTTACACAGTACCTAGTAGTACTAATATTAATATCCGGCCTCCTCTTCCCCGGCCGGGTACTAAATCGATCCCATGCCTTGTAAATGGAGCAAGCCCGGTGTGAATCACACCGGGCAATTTTAGAATTAATTGACAGCACATTGGTCCGCATCCATAAATAAGGTTGTAGTATGAACTATTTCTGTTGATATCCTGCACAACTTGAAGTTAAACTCTGTCTAAAATGTCGTTAAATTATCAAGTTAACGTAGCAAGCGTAAACTAAATTTGAATTGAACGCCATGTTGGAAAGTTTGTCTTTCTTCCGATAGGTCAGACGTCCAAATATGGGTGTAATGACCAAATAAGGAAATTGTAGTAAACATGGTGGCATCAGTAAGTAATACTATATTTGGCCATGCAGACCATATATAGAAAGGATAATTGAGATAACATCACACATGATCTGTCATGGCAGTCGTTTCTATTTTTTTCCCCCCCAAGACCGACTTGGTTTGTTTTGTAAAAGAGTTTTGCAATGGTAAGGATTCATTTTTCAACAATTATGCAATATTTTGATAACATTATACTTATATAAGGTGTGAATTATATGCAATCTTACAGATTAACACTTTTGATTTTGCTCCAATAGTTGGCATATAGGACCGCTTCGTAGCTCTGACAACGCAATATAAATCTCTCGTCGTCAGAAAGCTACGTTATCGCAGCTATAAGAACCTAGGTGAAGACACCTACCCTGTACCACCCTAATATTACTAACGGTCAGAAGGATGTGTTTCTAACTGGAGTTTAAATTCATTTATATACAAAACCCTAACTGATACAAACAACTTATCAATTGAATATGAAAGAACATATTCTCTAAATATGTAGCTTATTAAGTTATAATGATATAATTTAACTTATTCCGTCTTTGCGTATTGCAGAGTTATCTTCTCTTGGGAGCAGGTATTGATTGTTACGTCACTTGTTTGTGAGAGTAACGTCATCAATTTTTGAGAAAACGACGTAATTTTCTCACACAAACCAATGACGTAACAATCAATACCTGCTCCCAAGAGAAGATAACTCTGCAATACGCAAAGACGGAATACCTGTGACATAGATTTGAGTACAATAACGAATTATCAGATTCAAGCATTTCAGATGACTGATAAATTGATACAACTTCCAAAGTACTGACTGGTTTAAAATTATAAAAACAGTGTCTGAAACTACACATTATGTAACATTATTCTCTAAATGATTAATATCAATTAGAAATAATACATTAAAACTACAAAACAAAAACAAATATCTACATATATATATATACTATATACATGTAGGTGAAGTGTCAAGCCCAGCTAGGTCCCAGTGGGGTATCCCCACAGCCAACCATCACCCTAGCTACAGCAAGAGGGAGCTGACACAGCATGACACTTCCTACACACCTAACACAAATCGCTTAGCACTTATAATTAACCTGGCTAGCAGATTTACACTACTACAGTAGAATCAGAAATTACATACCAGGAAATCCTGAGTAGAAATTAAGGAAATAAAAACATATTATTGAGTTCAAAATTCCATTAGATGAGTGATGACTGACAGTCTGAAATATTACATCATCTCATTGTGATCCGAAATAGGAAGAATGAGGAAATATATCTACCACTTAAAATGAGGAAGAACATCTCCAGCTTGAAAACAGGAAGAATGTTTACCGTCAAACACTGACAATGCCTCAGGAAATCAACAATTCAGGATCCCGGTGCCACTGTGATGTGGGTTTTCCTACATACAGTCAATTCCTCTTACCTTCTGTTTGGATATAACTGTAGCACAGCTGGTAGTAATGGGCTATTGGTTTAAAATCGGTTTGGGTTCGGAAGTAGGAAACCGATCAATGATCGATTGCACAATCGGTTCATACTTTTATGGGACTGAATACCCCAATAAAGTGAGAACACTACCATAACATCAATAGACTGAGTTGTTACCTATACGTATGGTTTCATTCTTTTATAACGAATGGACTTCAAGCAATTTTTATGCTTTTGGTTTTGATTTGTTTCTGTTTTTCTATGGTCATTGAAGGGCGTGTCAGGTTTAGGTGGTGGAGGAAAGCCGGAGTTCCCAAAGAAAAACCACCGACCTACGGCCAGTACCTGGCGACTGCCCTACGTAGGCCTCTAACC